ACATGAGGAAATTAAATCTTCATCAGAGTACAAAACAAATTCTGGCCACAAAATAGAGCGAAACACCAACGTCAAAGACCTGGGAGTGATTATGTCGGAGGATCTCACCTTCAAGGACCATAACATTGTATCAATCGCATCTGCTAGGAAAATGACAGGATGGATAATGAGAACCTTCAAAACTAGGGAGGCCAAGCCATGATGACACTCTTCAGGTCACTTGTTCTATCTAGGCTGGAATATTGCTGCACTCTAACAGCACCTTTCAAGGCAGGTGAAATTGCCGACCTAGAAAATGTACAGAGAACTTTCACGGCCCGCATAACGGAGATAAAACACCTCAATTACTGGGAGCGCTTGAGGTTTCTAAACCTGTATTCCTGGAACGCAGGAGGGAGAGATACATGATTATATACACCTGGAAAATCCTAGAGGGACTAGTACCGACCTTGCACACGAAAATCACTCACTACGAAAGCAAAAGACTTGGCAGACGATGCACCATCCCCCCAATGAAAAGCAGGGGTGTCACTAGCACGTTAAGAGACCATACAATAAGTGTCAGGGGCCCGAGACTGTTCAAACTGCCTCCCAGCATACATAAGGGGGATTACCAAACAGACCCCTGGCAGTCTTCAAGCTGGCACTGGACAATCACCTAAAGTCAGTTCCTGATCAGCCGGGCTGTGGCTCGTACGTTGGTTTGCGTGCAGCCAGCAGCAACAGCCTGGTTGATCAGGGGTGATCCACCAGGAGGGCCTGGTCACAGACCGGGCCGCGGGGGCGTTGACCCCCGAAACTCTCTCCAGGTAAAACTCCAGGTAAACTCTACTTTTGAAGGTTCTCATTATCCATCCCATCATTTTTGTAGCAGATGCGGTAGATACATTGTTGGGATGTTTGAAAGTGAGATTCTCTGACATTATAACTCCCAGGTCCTCCACATTAGTTTTTAGCTCTACTGTATTGTTGGAATTTGTTTTATACTCCGATACAGTTTTAATTTCCTCGAGTTTTCTATAGCAAAGTAATTGAAATTTGCCTTCATTGAATTTCATATTGTTTTCTGTGGCCCATTTAAAGATTTGGTTGATGTCCGCTTGGAGTTTTACAGTGTCTTCGATGGAGGACACTGTCATGCAAATTCGGGTGTCATCCGCAAAGGAGGACACTGCTGTAGTTTGCATCTCTGCTATGTCAGATATGAGGATTAGGAACATGATGGGAACGAGTAATGTACGGTATGGAACAGAGCTTTTCACTGTAGTCACCGCTGACTTTACTCTGTTTACTATTACTCTTTGTGTTCTGTTTGTTAGGAAGTTATAGATCCATCTACCAACTTTTCCTGTTATTCCTTTTTCACGCATTTTGTGTGCTAATTCACCATGGTCGCACTTGTCGAAGATTTTCGCAAAGTCTATGTATACAACATCTGCATTTTGTGTCCTCCAGTGCATCCAAGACCATGCCATAGTAGTCCAGTAGTTGTGAGAGGCAGGAGGGACAATGCTGCCCTGGGTTGTGTAACTAATGGGCATATAAGTGGGTGGCGATCTTGCTTCTTAGGACCCTTTCAAAGATTTTTATGATGTGGGACGCTAGTGCTATCGTATCTGTAACTCTTTGCATTTGCTTTACTGCCACCTTTGTGGAATGGGGCTATGTCTGTCTGTTTTTTGTGAGTGTGGGATGACCCCTGTGTCCATGCTCCCTCTCCATAGAATACTTAAGGCACGTGAAAGTGGCTTCTTGCAGTTCTTGATGAATACCGTGTTCCACGAGTCTGGGCCTGGGGCAGAGTGCATGGGCACGTCATTAATTGCTTTTTCAAAGTCTTGTGGTGTTAGGATAATATCAGAAATTTCTGAATTAACCAAATTGTGAGTCTCGGTCGTAAAAAAAATCATTCAGTTATCGACCCTTAACCTGATTAACGGTTCAGCAAACACTGAGTTATATTGGGACTCCAGTATCTCACTCATTTCTTTGCTGCCACATGTGTAAGTCCCCTCCCGCCTAAGCACGGGTCTAATTTTTTTGTAGTAGTAGGAGAACAAAATATTCAAACAGCTCTGGGGAGGACTTGAGTTTTCTCTGAAGTTTAATAATAATAATAATAATAATAATAATAATAATAATAATAATAATATAAAAAAAATATCTATATTTCTACATGTACAAGGTATACAGATCATAGCTGACATACTACTAAATATAGAAAGTAGCTTGTTATGCTGAGCATTTCCGCAAATTAGGTCAATTTGGTCCCAGGATGCGACCCACACCAGTCCACTAACACCCAGGTACCTATTTTACTGATTGGTGAACATGGGCAGCAAGTGTCTTAAGGAAACACCTAATATTATCCAGTCGTACCGGGGTTTCGAACTCCGGACCTCAGTGTGTGAACTGAATGCGCTCTTCTCTGAGGATGAGGGTCCCTAATCCATATTTCGTTATATGTATTTAACGAAAGGGTATTAATTTTGATTTCATCCCTTGTTCTCAAAATTTTTGCAGAGGGCCTAGGCGCCGTACCTATTGTACCTCGTGCATAATAATACATGCATAAAATATACATAAGAACATAAGAACATAAGAACGAAGGAACACTGCAGAAGGCCTACTGGCCCATGCGAGGCAGGTCCAAGTCCCTACCGGCCTAAGCCAATGCACCCAACCTAGTCAGGTCAGGTCACATTGACTTAAGGGAGGAACACGGCAACCGACCTGTTAGCACAAGCTATCAGGTCTAACTCACACCCACCCACATCTACTCATGTATTTATCCAACCTATTTTTAAAGCTACACAACGTTCTGGCCTCTATAACGGTACTTGGGAGTTTGTTCCACTCATCCACAACTCTATTACCAAACCAGTACTTTCCTATATCCCTCCTGAATCTGAATTTTTCCAACTTAAAACCATTGCTGCGAGTCCTGTCTAGGCTAGATATTTTCAGCACACTATTTACATCCCCTTTATTTATTCCTGTCTTCCACTTATAAACCTCAATCATATCCCCCCTAATTCTACGTCTTTCTAGAGAGTGCAGTTTCAGGGCCCTTAGTCTATCCTCATAGGGAAGGTTTCTGATACATACATATATAGCGAAGAGGTGGGGACTAGCTGTGAATCGACCCCTGCAACAATAAATAGGTGAGTACAAATAGGTCAGTACGTACATACGTACGTAGATGAATGGTTCAGAGAACCGACATGTTGATAAATTAGACACATGTGCAACTCTTGGGTATCTTTATTGAGGAAACGTTTCGCCACACAGTGGCTTCATCAGTCCATACGTAGGAGAAACTTGAAGAACAGGAGGAGAATGAGGTAATCAGTCCCTCAACCTTGAGTCGATGTGTTCAGTCCATCAATTCTTGAATAAAATTTAGATAGAATTCTATTCAAGATTGATGGACTGAACACATCGACTCAAGGTTGAGGGACTGATTACCTCATTCTCCTCCTGTTCTTCAAGTTTCTCCTATGTATGGACTGATGAAGCCACTGTGTGGCGAAACGTTTCCTCAATAAAGATACCCAAGAGTTGCACATGTGTCTAATTTTATCCACATACGTACGTACATATACATACGTACATACATGCAAAGGCTCCTTGATAATGTAGCTTCCTGTGATAGCCAAGGTCATCTTACTGTGTATCTTGTAACCCATGTATCCTGTGTCTCATGTATCCTGTCTCATGTATACTGTGTCCCATGTATCCTGTGTCTCGTGTATCCTGTGTCTATGTATCCTGTCTCATGTATCCTGTGTCCCATGTATCCCGTGTCTCGTGTATCCTGTGTCTCATGTATCCTGTGTCCCATGTATCCTGTGTCTCATGTATCTTATGTTCCATGTATTGTGTCCCATGTATCCTGTGTCTCGTGTATCCTGTGTCTCATGTATCCTGTCTCGTGTATCTGTGTTCCATGTTTTTGTATCCCATGTATCCTGTGTATCATATATCCTGTGTCCATTTTATCCTGTGTCTCATGTATCCTATGTTCCATGTATTGTGTCCCATGTATCCTGTGTATCGTGTATCCTGTGTCTCATGTATCCTGTGTCTTGTGTATCCTGTGTTCCATGTATTGTATCCCATGTATCCTGTGTATCGTGTATCCTGTGTCTCGTGTATCCTGTGTCTCGTGTATCCTGTGTCTCATGTATCCTGTCTCATGTATCCAGTGTCCCATGTATCCTGTGACTTGTGTAACATGTTTCACTGTCTAGAATCTCACCATAGCATGTTTCGCTCAGTGTATATGTGTGAACGAGAGTGGTGATACATAATAGTCCTTCTCGGACACATATACTTCCCGTATTAAAGAGAATTTCGAGTCATGACTTAAATAGCTCGAAAAATCTGGCCATTTCAGCCTCAAAATATTTCACCTATGATTCTCCAGGGGTAAGAAATTACCCTTTTTTTCCCTTTAATAAATGCCCCAGTGCCTGATATGACTGGTCATAGAGGTAGAGCGGCTCTACTAGGTTATATTAATTGGTTTTTGGGTTATAATATAGGCTGGAGTCGTGATATATTTAAATCCCCGCCTTGCTATGGCATTTAAGTTGAGTATTCAGCAGTCTTGGTGTTATTTTAACCTCCTCTGGCAGCCCTCCTCCCCCCGGGGTGGTTATATTGGTGTTATTCCCCCAGTGGGTTAATTATGGGGGGTTTCCAGGTGGTTTTATCCCCGGGATAATAAAAGAAGCGACATTAAATAATAAAATATGAATTATTGGATCTTTTAGTGACAATGGCAACAAGCTATAACTCATCTCCTGCAGACAAACTTTTGAAAAATATAATTTTCCTTTTCTATCCCATGAAAACCCGGCTAAATCTCCCCCACTACGAGTCCACACTAATAAAAACATTACTTCAATTAGCATACCGAGGGATTTTATAACCGGGAATAAAGAGAAGGCGGGAAAAAAATAATTTTCGGCGGGTATTATTGGAACGTATTTTCCTACATGTTAGGTGCCATTGCACTTAGGACTTAAGGGAAAATTGTATACCTTGTGTTTTGCCATTATGTCTTATTTCTAGGTGCCAGGAGTGCTGTTAACCCCCGGGAACACTGAGCTAACGTCGCCCACACTCTAAACTCGTTGTTTATCGCCTCGTTGTCAAGTAAGGACCATCAAAATTCCGGTCCCCAGCGAATTTCGGCAGGCCCGTGCAGGGAGAGCCGAGGATACCATGAACACCAGGCCAAGAAAAACCCGATCCACCTCCGCCAGGTGGGTATGTGGGCGTGTAGGGGCGCGGGCGTGGGTGTCCGGGTGCTAGGGCATGCTGTGGGGGCGTGGGGTAGCTAGCAAGTGGGTATTAATGGGTGTGTGAGGTGGTTAGTGGTGGTGACCGGTGATGGCGGAGACACACGTACATACACGTACATACACACGTACATACACACGCACACGTCTACATATATACATAACTGTGGTTATTAACACGCTCATTGCCCCCCATTACTCCTCCAGTGCCCATAATCCAGGCTCTTTTGGGGTATCCTGGGCATGGTGGGGGCATGTGGTGGCGCCCGTAGACATCTGGACTCCATACCTCCTCTAGTTACATGTGACAGCTGTAGGTACCTCCATGTCTCTCCTCACAGCATTGATGCTGTTGAGGGGCTCTTGATCCAAGTACTCTGAACAACCCTCCACTTGGCTCAAACCTGATTGCCCCCCAGGCATTGTGTAGCCCTTAAGGGTTTAGTGCTCCCCACCAATGGACAGTGGTCATCATATTATTTATGCCATGTTATGACAGTGTTTATATTTTGTCTTCGACTTATTTTAAGATTTTGTTGCCCGGAGGAATTTTTTTAATGTGATTTGTTTTGAAGATTTATATTCCCTTCATTGATGTCTCATCCATATGTATATGTATCATCCATATATATGTGTTGTGTCCTTGTATATGTATTCTCATTACATATGTATACATTATCTTTAAAGCTTTATATTCCCTTTCATTGATGTTACTCATCCATATGTACGTGTCTCATGTATGTACGTGTGTTACCCATATATATGTCTCGTTCATGTGCGTGCATAGTGTCCATATGTACTTGTGTATCATCCTTGTGTTACATTTTACACATGTTATTCCTCATTTTAACCTTTCAAGAGGAATGTCCTAAGGTAATGTATTTGCCATGTGGAAAGCTTCTTTAAGGACACTGCTCCTAATCTGACAAAACGTGAACACTGCAGTAGGCCTATGGTACACAGAACTTGGCTTATTGCCAAGACTGAGTCTCTCATTTTTATCATCAGGAATTAGGGGGCCAACTCAGCCCAGCCATGTCATAAGCATCTAAAATGAGATTTTTAAATATATTGCTTCTGGTAGGCCTTTCTGTGAGTATAACCTGGTGGGTGTTTCAGGGGGTAGCACCCCCCATCCATGGCCTGGTCCATAATCAAGTTCATTGGGGATCAGGGCCTTAATCATCGAGGTGTTACTGCTGGCACACGCAAAAAACGTTACGAAGCACAGCCCGGTGGTCAGTACTGACTTCAGGTTGCCTGTTCAGCTCCCTCCTTGAAGGTCAGCACAGGGGTTATTGGCAATCCCCCTTGTGTATGCTGGGTTTAGTTGAATGTTTCTTGGGCCTCTGACACTTAGCGTGTTGTTCCTTTAGCATACCCATGGTGTCACCCTGATTTTTAATAAGTGGATAAGTAAAATAAAAGTGCAATCGGGCCCGGTGGAAAATAAGTCACTTTGTCTGACGTTTTTAGGATATCTAGGTAAGTTACACGTATAAGAACATAAAGAAGGAGCTCTGCCGCAGACCTACTGGCCCCATGTAGGCAGGTCCAGTCACACCCTGTATCATTTATGTTAAACTTTTTATGTATGATAATTGTGCTTGTGTATACCCTGTTACCTAAATAAACTTGCTTACAGTTGGCTATCTTCCCCATGCCCAGAATGTTTTCCTGCTCAACAGGCTTCAGTTAATATTTGACTGAAGAATTCCTTCGCAGGTGAAAAGTTTCAAGCACTAGCAGGAATTGCTGCTCTTTTCTTTAACCCTTAAATGGTTTCCAAAACGTATATACACGTTTTTTCAAAACATTTGAATGTGAATGTAAAAAAATGTAGATATTCTTTCTTGTTTTACATTTGAAAATGTGTAAAAAAACAACGTAGATCTACTTTTGGAGCAATACGGATTTGAGCATCGATCTGTTTGGACTGTTTAAGGGTTAAAGAGGTTTGGTAGATCTTGCACACTTAAATTTACCTTCATAATACATTTTACTCTTCTTAACAGTTCTTATTCCTTTAATATTTCCATTCCAATTTAGGTACTGTATATAGCCTATTTTTAAAGCTATACAAAGTACAGTACAGTACTACAGTATCTGTGTAGTTTAAGCTACACAAAGTATTAAGTGCACAGACATTTTCACTTAAGAACTCAGTTACCTTACAAGGACCCCAATGGAAATAAGTCACTTTGTCTGACTTTTTTGGGTTATCCTAGGCAACGTACATGTGTAGCTAGGTATGATAATTGTACCTATAACTAAATAAACTTACTAACTAGTTTTTGCCTGAATCTCTTCATCAATTTAGCCACTTTAAATTCACTGTTGTGAATTCTGCTATATCAGCACAGCAGTGCATAAATACTTTAACAAAGGAGAACTTTTATTTCTTCACATTGCACTGCCATTATTATTACAGTGGGCTGGTAGACAGTAGCCCATACAGGGAGGTATACCTCCTGTCAATAGGATTGGGAGTTTAACTGGTCGAGGAGTTCCGGCGGATCAACGCCCCCGCGGGCACGGTCTGTGACATGCCTCCTGGTGGATCAGAGCTGGTCAACCAGGTGTTATGCTGGCTGCACGCAAACCAACGTCGAGCACAGCGAATTTTAGGTGCTTGGTCCAGTGCCAGCTTGAGACTGCCAGGGGGTCTTTTGGTTAATTCCCCCTTTATGTATGCAGGGAGGCAGTTGAACAATCTTCCGACCCCTGACACTATTGTATGGTCTTTAACTGCTGCTAGTGACACTCCTGTTTCATTGGGGGGATGTTGCATCGTCTGCCAAGTCTTTTGCTTTGTTAGTGTTGTGATTTTCGTGTGCAGGTACGGTACTAGTCACTATAGGATTCCAGGTGTATATAATCACGTATCTCTCGCCTGGCGTTCCAGGGACTACAGGTCAGGAACCTCAAGCGCTCCAGTAAATTAAGGTGTTTTAATCTCATATATGGCGCCGTTGAAGGTTCTTTGTAAATTTTCTAGGTCAGGCAATTTCAACTTGCCTTGTGAAAGAGTGCTGTTAGTGGTGCAGCATATCAGCCTAGATAGAACAAGTGACCTGAAAAGTTGTCATCAGGGGCTTGGGCGTCCCTAGTTTTGAATGTTTCATATTATCATCCTGTCGTTTTTTCTAGCGATGCGATGATACAATGTTTGGTCCTTGAAGGTGAGATCTCGACATGATCACTCAGGTCTTTGACATTAGGTGTTTCGCTCTACTTTTTGGCCAGAATTTGTTTTGTACTCTGATGAAGATTTAATTTCCTCGTGTTTACCATATCTGAGTAATTGGATTTTCATATTGTTTTCTGCAGCCACTGAAAGATTTGGTTGATAGTCCGCCTGGAGCCTTGCAGTGTTATGCAATGGAAGACACAGTCATGCAGATTCGGGTGAATCGCACAGGAAGATCGTGCTGGTATGGCTGAATCCTTTTCTATGTCAGATATGAGGATGAGGAACACGATGGGAGCGATTACTGTGCCTTGTGGAACAGAAGCTTTTCACGTTTAGCTGCCCTCAAACTTTTACTCTGTTGATTATTCTCTCTGTGTTTGTTTAGTGAGGGAAATTAGAGATCCAGCGACCAACTTTTATGTTATTCCTTTAGCACGCATTTTGTGCGCCTATTAGCAATGGTCACACTTGTCAAAGGCTTTTGCAAAAAGTCTGTATATATTACATCTGCACATTCTTTTGTCTTTAGTGATCTAGGACCTTGCTCATAGTGATCCAATAGTTGAGACAGACAGGAGCGAACCTCGTTCTAAACCCATGTTGCCCTGGTTGTGTAATTGATGGGTTTCTAGATGGGTGGTGATCTTGCTTCTTAGGCCCCTTTCAAAGATTTTTATGATATGGGATGTTAGTGCTATCAGTCTGTAGTTTTTTTGCTATTGCTTTATGCCCCCTTTGTGGAGTGGGGCTATGTCTGTTGTTTTTAGTAACTGTGGGACGACCCCCGTGTCATGCTCCCTCTCCATAGGATGGTAAAAGCTCGTGATAGGGGCTTCTTGCTTTTCTTGATGAACACGGAGTTCCATGAGTTGGCCCGGGGGCAGAGTGCAGGGGCATGTCATCTATCGCCTGTTCGAAGTCTTTTGGTGTAAGGATAACATTCGTTTGGCTGTGTTAACCAAATTCTGTGGCTCTCTCATAAAAAATTCTTTTTGGTCTTCGACTCTGTCTGGTTAGCGGCTTGCTAAAAACTGAGTCATATTGGGACTTGAGTAGCTCACTCATTTCCTTGCTGTCTCTGTGTAGGACCCATCTTGTTTAATTTGGGGCCCAATATGGACGTTGTTCTCGACTTTGATTTGGCATAGGAGAAGAAATATTTTGGGGGTTTCTTTCGATTTCATTTATGGCTTTTAGTTCTTCCGCGTTTCCCTGACTCCATAAGATTCCTTTAGCTTAAGTTTGATGCTTGCTATTTCTCTGACCAGTGACTCCCTACGCATTTCAGATATATTGACCTTTTTTAGCCGCTTTGTTATTCTTTTCCGTCGCCTGTAAAGGGAGCGCCTGTCTCGTTCTATTTTACATCTACTCCTCGTTTTTCTTAGAGGAATAAGCCTTGTGCATACATCGAGCGCCACCGAGTTAATCTGTTCTAGGCATAAGTTGGGGTTGCTTAGTCTATCTTTTCCCCGCGTATATCGGTTTTGGACTTGGTTTACTTGGGTCCCACTTTGTTTTTGTTATTGAAGTTGAATTTGGTGAATGCACCCTCGTGACTAATCTGATTATGTCGGTCTGGGGCTCCGCGCGTACATGTCTGAACCTCAATTATGTTGTGATTGAGATATTGTTTTTGATTGGTGACATTTCGTATCAGATCATCATTGTTAGTGAAGATGAGGTCTAGTGTATTCTCCAGTCTAGTAGGCTCTATTATTTTCTGGTTTAAATTGAATTTTGTGCAGAGATTTTAAAAACTTGTGTGTGT